GTGTTCTACTCGATCTAAGATTCATAGTGTGCCAACTTTTTGATTGAGGAAACCACTCATTAAATTTGCCTGATTTAAAAGCACCTAGAGCAAAGTTTGTACACATAGTGGTTCTTCTATCATAAAGGTGATCCAGAGATAGAGTAATACGGCAAACTCTTTTGGATCGACTAAATTAGATTGGTCTGTTTGAGTGTAATGCTTGAGTGCCAAACCGGTGTCACGGTCTCACTTCTCCGGCGTGCTAGCTTCTCCGGGTGGATTCGGCGGATAATTGAGCACGTTATAGTGCACGTTACATGAGCACGATTCATGCTCATGTGTCCACTGTGCTTACTTTTCCTAGGGCTGTTGAAGTCTACCAAGCCCATTAATAACACAGTGAAGGACACCTAAGAATGTGTTATGTAACACTTCCTGTGGGTCAAGTCATTCCATGGTCTTGCAAGCATTCTGATTGGTGTCCCAGCGTCATGCATGTGTGTGTGTTCATGGAGGAATAATTAAGAACGAACTCCTTGGTCCGTGTTCCTTGCTCGTTCGTGGTCCATTTTGTCTTTATTATTGCAACCATGGCTTAAAATAAATGTGCATTTCAAGTCTTTTTTTGTTCGTGGGAGTTAATAGTGCGTGCCACGAAAATTCTGGATTCGACTGATACCCTGTACCATTCATACAAATAAGATCTTACGTGCACAAGTACAACCCCGAGGAACTCGGCACACTAATACAGTGACGAAAATGTACACTACTGCGCAATTTTGTGCATGCGTGTTGAAGCGAAATTTTCCTTTTGGAGAAGCTAGCACGCCGGAGAAGCGAGACCGTGACACCGGCGATGCGTTTGCTAGGACTGGTCTAACATAGGGTAACAAGTTCTTAGAGTAAAACCAGTTTCTTTCAGTTTCCTGAACATGAATAATTTTCTATTAGCTTTACCATCATCTCAGCAATGTGTTTCTCATGTCCTTAAATTTGAGTCCGAGTATTTTTTTACCAATACGTGATAAAAGGTTTTTGCATAATATGATGATTGATGTGTGGGTCATTGGAGACAGCATATATGGCGGGGTTATTGAGGGTCTGAGCAGGCATCCAGGGGGCACAGGAATGCAATCACATCATCATCATCATCATCATCATAAATCCATCTAATAGCCAATCTTGGTATAGATATGTGGGGCCTCTGGTCACTTAAGCACACTTAAAGGGAATATACATCATTTGCCTTTGCTGTAATTTTCAGAAACGAATGGAATTGCAGGGGTTGGAAATATATAGCAAATGTAGTTACACTGACTTTTTTGAGGTTTGGTTCGAAAATGCTATAAAAACTAAGAAAACAATCATTTTCCTGTAGTCTGGTTCCCTGACTCAATATAAGAAGAAACAGAGCAGTTAACATACATTGGGGAATTGTAAGGTCAGGGAACCAGTCTAGCTGGCTTGTACCCGTTCATAGGTGTGTAATCGATTGCAAACAAGTGCGATGGTCAATTGGGCCAGTATTTGAAAAAAGCCAGTTTTTTCCAACGCTGGTCGGCCGACCAGCGTTGGAAATTGATACAAAAATACCACTTTTTCTTGAAATGACGTATACCAGGTGCCATGATTTTACAGGATGCTTTACACTGTCATTCACTAACAGTCCAGCAAGGTATTTCAAAATTATTTGGTAGTTTTATTTTTTGATGTTTGCAAATGTTGTATTTTCCCTTTAAGCGAGCACATGATGGACAGTACACAGAGGAACTTTCCTTGCAAATGTTTTCACCACCACCCCTTACATCCGCCATTTATAGTGCTCCAAGGTTTTCAAGAGACTATATCCATTACAAGGATTAAAATGTTCGCAATTTTTAGGATACAGACAGCCTGCTCCTCATATTTATGGGGCAAACGAAACCATTCAATCCCTTGTTTTCTAATTTGATACTTGCCGTAGCGCTCTCAAGTGTCACGAGGCTATGACGTGGG